CACATAAAATGACATGGCGGGCCACATGTGGCCCACGGGCCTTGAGTTTGACACATGTGATCTAAATCATAGGTGAAGTTGGTGCACTGGGTGATGACTCTCTCTGGGTGGACAGGTCTGCATAGTCACCGTTTTTCCATGTGTGCAACCAAAAGCATCTTAACAAAGTGTTCGAAATCAAGACTGGGTTGCAGCTCCAGGCCAAGAATGAGTTTATATATTATTCATCTACTAGGGATGTTCCCTATTGATCAGATTCCAAGTGTTTCATCTGGGTTCTGATCAACCCTTGCTGGAGGAAGATTCCATTGACCTGAAGCAGCTGAAATTTAAATGCAGATTACTGCTTTCTCAGACAAATGTGTGTCTGTATTGTGACCTCAGGTTTATTGTGTATTATAAATAATACACAATAAAATATTACCCACCTCTCTGTGAGTGTGACCGTTGTGCACGTAAACCTTCGTTTGTGTGTGTGTGTGTGTGTGTGTGTGTGTGCAGCAGTGTTTTAGTGCTTCAGTGAGACTCTGCCGGAGTTATCTGGGTTATAGAGGATTCATTTTTAATTCATCTGGAGCGATGCAATAGAACAATAGCCCATAAAGACAGGAAGTGATTATTGTAATCAATTACCGATAGAGATTTTTGTTTTTGCTTGGAGATTTAAAGCACACAAATTATAAACCAGCTTCCAGGATTTATTGTCAATTTGAAAGGATTGCATATTACTCTGGCACTTTGTTGTTGACCGCTCGAAGCCCCAGTTGCGACCCATTAATACGCTGTTACCTTCTTCACAGACATAAACACATGTGAATGATTAAGTTGTAGCTTCTACGGGAATGTCTTTTAACAGAAACCTCTGTTGTCTTTGTGAGACCTTCAAGGAACAACAGTCAGGTTATTTCTCATAACCTTATTCATGAATTGATGCTGAGGAGAAGGGATAAAATGTGTGCCATTTAATATTGACGGATTTCGGATAAAAAATATTTCGGATAAAGTTTTATTTTTTTCCCATTGATAAACCTTTTCCAATACTATGGCTCATTCTGACACATGCTTGACCGCATAGTTTTGGTTAAATCACTGTAACTACAATGCAAAAAAAAGCAACATTGAAGACAAGAGAAGCAAGGAAAACATTGAGTACTGAAGATGATAGAGTAAGGAGGCCTGCTTTGATGAAGGTTTATTGGTTAGCATGAACTGACTTCCTTGTTTGCCGTGTCTTGCAGTCTTTGCTGCTGATTCGCCAGGAGATGGTGGTCTCCCAGAAGAAGCTCGGCGAGTTCTGCGAGGCTCTGAAGCAATACCTGAAGAACGTCTCTGCTCAGAGAGACTGCTTTCAGTAAGTCTCATTAATGCTCTACATTTGTGCAACTGCTGGGCAGCACAGAGCACAACTGTAACCCCATTTAAATTATTAATGTGCTCCATTTTAGGAGTCAAAGCCTCACAATATTTCTCACTTTACTTATCGACGCCTCACACATTTCCTCTACTGGTGTCTGGTTGTTCCTTTATTAGTAGTAGTTTGTGTTCCTGCATGTGCACCAAATATTAGGTGTGCTTTAATCGCTTTATATCAACGAAAGAATAACATTCAATGCAAATAATGAAACGGCTTTTATATGGTCTCATATAGAGATGCTGTAACTATTGGAAACCTCCTGCATCTCCCACTCAGACCCAGCTACTATGAAACACTAATATCCAGAGAGATTTCCCCAAATCCCAGACTTAATATTCTCCATGTACTGTCCAGAGTCTTGTTCGGGTTTTGCCCTTGGCAAAACGTAAAGGTTCTGGTTCTGCTGCACAACTTTTTATATTACCTATTCGGCCACCATTTACTGAAGTAAAAGGTAAAGTCTCAGCAGGAGGAACAGAGGGAAAGGTATAAATCTTGATGGGCTACATAGAACACCAAAAGGTTAAATGAACGGGGAAAAGCCCAATTCATTCTTGGAAATGGATTATGCTCCCACCGTCCCTCTTTATATCACAGTTTCTTGTACTGTACAGAAGAAGAAAGTGACATGTTGGTTTTAAGATGGATTGTGTGTTTTAATTTAAATCTGAAGAAAGGGTTTTCCCCACAAGGCAAGTCCCTAACCGGCTCAAGGGAGCATACAACTGGATCTGTTTTTTTTAATCATTTTTTAATAATAAGGAAGATCCTAAAATAATATCTTTTTAAAGAATACCAAGGAAAAGATTGTGCCACACATAGGAGCCTCAACAAGGATAAAGATGGAACTTCAGGAGGCTGCATGAGTGTAATGAAAAGAAAACAAAAAAGCGTTTGAGTTGAAAAGATGAAACTAATGGAGTAAACTGTGTTGTAATTGCTGTACCAATTGAAGTTATGATTAAATTATTTTTTTTTATTAATGTTAGAATTATTTTATTTTTTTTGCAACAGTGACGAACTAAACACAATTTCCTTCTTTTATAAAAGAAATCTATCTCTAGCATATTTATTATTGTGGCATTTAGTTAATGAAAATTATTTTTGGCATTTAGAACTGACCTAAAGAAAGTGAAATTTGGTCTGAATTAACTTAAGGAGAAAAGTTGTGTTGTTTTAGTCCATGTAAACATTTGGATCTCTCTCAGTTCTGTGAAGTTTAAAATTAGGAATACATTAAGGTTTTACGCTTAGAGAAAAACACTGTACAAATGTTGCTCAGTGTGAGAGGAGTTTCCTCAATAATCCTTGTTCATATAGATATTAATCTCATAATTGGGTACTTAAGTTAGTGTTACATAGGGTTGCTTTAGCTCTAAATATGGAGGAGTAAGTGAAGGGTTTCACTGTATCGTTTGATGCTTTCAGGTTTGTGCTCTGTTTGAGTTGGAAAAAAAAAAAACACTGTTCATTCCTGCAGAAACTCATAGGATTGACTGCTTGTCAGGTGTCAATATATTAACACTGACAGGCACAAAACAACAAATCTCAATCTGCAGTCGGCCTTTTTTTTTGTTTCAGCAGGTTTAGGTGGAGGATTTGCTAAGAGGATTTCTTAGTGGAGGAACGTTATTACTAGTAAATATGTTTTTCTATCCTACTTTTTTATATTTCATGAAGTGTTTTATAAAAGGTTGTTTTCTCTTTGCTTTCCCAACTCATTATCTTTTAATGTGCATGTGTGATTACATGCACAACACTTTATTAAACCCTCAAGCAGAGCTTAAAATGCACAGCTTATCCTTATGAGACTAGATTGCAGTTCACTTATCGCCCTCTACAGTCTCAGAAAAGAACTCCATGCACACGCTACCTAAATGGGTTTAAATATTACTCTTAATAGGTTTTTTCAGCATATTACTACCAATGTTGGAACTGGTAATAATAAACATCAAAAAACACTGTTTGATCACTGTGATAATTTTAAGATAATATAGACTTTAAATGTAATTTTCTGGCAACAGATCAGGTTACATTCTCATATTTAGGAATCGGTTATTACAGGAAGTTGCAAGAAACTTTACACATTACTTTGTACATTACTTCCTGAGTAACATTTTATATGGTTATTAGTATTGTTCATTGATCAATATTCATAATTAGTGAATTAGTTTCTTGAAAAGTTCATATTAGTAACTCAATTCATAAAGTGAAACATTATACACAATAAGTGCACACAGACTTGGGTGTGCAAGCTTTTACTTCTGATAAATATGATTCTGCCCTTTCAGTTAATGAAAACATGACATTTAAGATTAGGAAATAACAGAGTAGTTAAAAAAACAGGGTACAGCAATGTGTGTTAATACATGCTTAAAGATTGTCAGAATGTACTTTTACTCTGACAAACAAACCTCAGAATTTTTTTTTTATCTGGAAGGGTGAGATAGCTTAGGGAAACCTAAGAGCCAGTGTTTTTTGTTTTCTTTTTTTTTCCCCTGAAAACTTAGCATAGTGCAAGCAAAAACCTGAAAAGACATTTCATAAAATCCAATAAAGATATGAAAAACCTGAAATAAACAGAATCACTTGCAGGATATGACTACATTTTAAAATTTTAATGACATTTCTAGCTGAAATTCCATGAAAGTAGTTAGCTTTGAAAAAGTGTAAAGTTTTTATCAGAATTCCCCCACCCCTCCCCCAAAATTTAATTCATTTCAACAGGGCCCTATGTGATCACAAAAAGCTGAATATTTCAAAAACTGTAAAAGATGTCAATACCAAATGACAACCATAATGTACTGAATGAGCAGAATATGGTAAAAGTTGAATGGTTGAAACAGCACAAAGTATGCAGAAGCAGTTAATATGTGAAAAGTGCCTGGGGGGCGGCATTGGAGAAACTCGAGTGGGAATACTTATAGCATTCACACTCTTTTTTTTTTCTTTTTTTTTCTTTTTGCCAGAACAAAATGGATTTTAATTATTCTCATGAACCGGTGGTCTTATTTTCCCTTCCAGCACCTAAATGCACCATTTGACAGATAAACTGGCACTATAGGAAGCGCTGGAAATAGATCCCATATTGACTATGAGCACCTCGTTGGATTCCTGCTTTTACGCATTTGTGCTCCTGTGGAAGCAATAATGCGGTTTATTACAGTGAGATAAACACTGAAATGCTTGTGTAAAGTCCAATAATATCAGCCATTTACTCACACTGTTCTCCACATCTTAGCTTCCTAATTTTCCCTTAATTATTCATTTTATCTGATGTCTTGTTTCATCTTTTTCTTGACAATGTTTTACTGCCTAACTCATCTTTTCTGCTACACTTTTTTCCTATTGATGCTTTTCTCTTCCAATATCACTGTCTTCCTGTAGAAATAGGAAAAAAATGTGAACATTAATTTCTTCAACTCATTCTTGCTTCCCTTTAGTGTGACTGCGGTTCGCCTGCCAGATGGTTTGTCCTTCGTCGTCTACGAGTTCTGGGATGGAGAGGAAGAGTGGAAGAGGTGAGTGAGAAAAATTAGGATTAAAATAAATCTTTCATTCCAGATTAGGATTTTAAAAATGAGGTATTTGTGCCCTTTCGCATTTTTTCCACATTGTGTAAACTTTTACATAAGCCATCACTAAGTAGCACATAGCTGTGACAGGAAAAATGTTTTAAAAAGTTGATGGCTTGAAATCTAATGATAAATTAAATAAAACCAAGGGTAACAAATTGTAATCAGGAGTTACCTAATTAGCAAATTGTGTCCTGTGTTAATGTATTAATTAATTGTTGTAGAGCATGACGGAGGAACTCAAACTGCATCAGGGCCACAGAGGAACAGAGATAGCTCAGAGATTAAGCAATTAAAAAATCTCCAGTTTAGGCCCACTTTTCAATTCACAATCTGAAAATGATGCAGTGGACCCCTGAAATTCATGGGATTAGGAACCACAACCACCCATGAATAGAACCACAAATATGAGGCCCCCTCTAAAAACATTTATAACTGCCTATTTTTATAAGTCAAAGCCCAAATATGCCTTAATGCACAATTATACACATAGTGGAAATGAGCTTAGCACTGCTGCATAAACCCACGTCTCTTATCTCTGCTATTCTAGGTTCAGTCAATGAACACCATGGAAAATGAAGTTCACTCCTGGATTGGTTGATGTGCCAAGGCCAATAGCATGTCAAGTTGCGCTTCACTTTGGTATTTCGGCTTCCAAAGCTTCTAAAATTTGAATATTTTAGATGTGGGTTTCCAAAAAATAAAAAATAAATCAATTACTTACAGCTACGTTTGGTAGAAAAACCTGTGAATATTGAACTCACTGCATAGCTATCAAAGTGATAGTCGAGGCAGGAAGAACATTAATCCATAGTGACTCTGGAGGAGCTGCAGAGATCCAAAACTCAGGTGGAAAAGAGGTCGGAAGAATGCAAAATGTGGTTCTAGAAAGTATCGACACAGGAAGTGGAATAAAATAAACTATATTTTAATTCGTAAAGACAAAACGTTTTCCTTTCCTTCCTTCCTAATTGTGTTTGTGTTGGTCTATCATATAAAATCCAATACACTGAACCTTCTAATCTTACTGTGACAAAATATGCCCAAGTCGTATCTTACCTACCCACAGCAGAAAGCCATCAAGCTGATCACACTTCAGAACATTTTGGAGAAATTAAGAGTGAGCAGAGTACGCGGCCAATTACAGCTATTTTAAGCATGTTTTTGGAAGCCTTTGGAATTTCATCTGATGCATCAGGCAAAACCAAACATCTGTAAATGAGAGTCCACTGCTACAGTATTGGGTCATCAGTGAGTGAAGACATTCATATCGAGTACTTTTGAGTCGGCATGCTGGCTTATCTGAAAGGATGTTTGAGCCATGCAAGTCATTTCTTCCTGCAGCACTGTTTTCCTTATTGATCGGTGACCAGCAAATAAAGAAAGCACTCACTTTTCTTCCATTAATGTCCTGGGCCTGCTGGATAAATCCCCCCCTCCCACATTTAATTAGCATTCCTCAGCTGCATCAGATCACTGTGATTTAGTGATGGTGGGCACGAGGAGAAGCTGCTGATCTGAATTTCTGCTCCGCTGCTCACAGCATCTCGCCGCTATTAATATTTCAGGTCTTACAGTAAAAGGCTAAGCAATTTGAAGCCATGCATCCTTTTGAGTGGCTGTGTGTATGCACTCTCACCTTTTCCTCCGGCTTCAGGCACCTTCAATCGGCTCCCAACAAAGCCTTTCAGCATGTGAAGGTGGACACACTGTGCCAGCCCGAGGCCGTCTCCTCCGTAGCAGTGCCAGGTTAGTAAAATGGCCATTAATGGAAAATTAACTTTATGATCTTGACCTTCACTCAGAGGCATAGGCCTATAATTTTAGCTCAGTCTGTCATCCCCAAAATGCCACTTGCTAATGTTTAAGAGTAAAACATCCATCATTTTAATGAAATGATGCAGAGCCGCGCAGCCTCGCCTTAACATGAGACAGAGCGGTCTTCAAGCGACGCTGATGAGAAGCTGATTTTCAACTAACTTTGCCAGCAGAGCAGCTTAACAAATCAGGACGTCTTCTGAGAATAAGTCACTGCCACCACAGCTGCTGTCGTTTGACCAGATGAGATCATTTGTCATCTTTTACAGTTTCATTCTGAGCAAATGTCTTAAGTATGCCGTTTATTTTTTTATTGTCCCTCCAAACAAACTATTTTAGTGTTTAAAGTGATCTTTGACTTCTCCAAGCTTTCCATTTTTCATAACTTGGCTTGTAAATTCTCCATTTTCCAATACCATGAAAAAGTATTTGTTCTCCAACAGCTTTGTTTTTGCTCCTATTGACCATACTAAATGTTTTAGATTAAAATGTATTTTTATACCAGGCAAATATATATAACTAGAGTAAATTACAAAAAAGATTTTGTTAAGGCTATCTATAGAATCCAACCTGGCCCTGTAGGAAAATATTTTCCTGCTTCTTAAAGCATTAACTATCATTTAATGTTTAATCAGCTAACACCAGGCCTGTACAGCCACGAAATCACTGTTGAAACCACATATTTACTTGCACCACATCGTTATACAGCATCTGAAGCACCTCTGAATTTACTTGCCTCGGTTAATGTCGGTATTCATGATTTTACAATATTAATAAAAAACTGAAGCACCATTGATTTCCATGAGCGACTTCTAAAGCTAAAGCTACTGCTGACCAATAGGAACAACAGTCCTTTAGATCTGGCATAAAACTAAGCAGCATTTTAAAAAACTAATCATACACACAGTCAAACATGATAATGGAGGAATAATGATATCAGTTTGTTTTGCTGCTTCAGGCCCAGTTTGAGATGCATCTTTGAACTGCAAGTGCAGCGACAGACTCGATGCTTAATCAGCCCATTTTGATCTGAATCTTCAATATTCAGTTGCTGACTAACGACATGGCTATTTTTGAACAATGTGAATAAAACTCATCTTCCAGACGTCCCTCGTCAGGCTGTTTCTCGTCACACCTTGAATGACTTTCCCAATCTCAAAGCTTCTTCCTCGTTTCTTTCTGCAGCCGCCTGGTGCAGCGTGAACAGGGATTGAGCATGAAGATGGTCGACTACACGCCAAGACTCCTCCTGGACACTTTCTTTTACTCCAACCCGTTTACTGTCCCTCCTCCTCCCTTTATCCTTTAACTCTTTTTGTAAGTACATGTTTACATAGTGCAAAGGAAGGGCATCATCTGCAGAGAAAATTGTTCAGTTTAATGTTTGCAAAGGGATGATTTGATGCTTAAAGTAGTTCTGAGCCACTTTGAGGTGGAGTTTATGTAGCAAGGAATATGAGGTTGTAAGTCATGTAGCAAAGTCTGTTTTTGGATTATACACTGGCATTATTTTTTGTAATTTTTTTTTTACAACACTTTATGATGGTGTCACCATAAACAGCTCATCCTGCTAACCTTCATTAACAAGTTGCAGCTAACTACATTTCTGAAAATATTACACTCACCGTGACCGTTTTAAGCTCACAGAACTGATTAGGACCATCAGCAGCCATAAATGTCAATTTAGTTTACACTCTCAGGAATAATGCAAGCCTCTGATAGTTAAGGTTATGCAACTGGAAACTATTAAAGAGAAAATTAGGACAATATAAAATCAAACTCCAGCAGCTCCCAACAGGCTCACATCAAATAGCTTTTTGCAATGCTGTATTGACATAAGATTTGTGTTTTTCATGCAAGAAACTGCTCCAGATACTACACAATAACATTCCAAAAACAACACTGCAGTATGCACTGCTTTCATGTCCATTTTACTTCAGAGAGCATCAAATTTCTTCCATGCATGCAGCCCAGAAACTAGTTTTAGGGATGCTGCATGTCAGATTTTCAATAGTTGCTATGGATTGTTAATGGGATTTAAATTGTCTAATTTGTATCCATGGTTAAGTACTCTTAATTGTCATGTTTCAGCAGAGCAGTCTTAAAAATGTCTATTTGAAAAAGAAAAAGAAAAAATCAGGGCTTTTTTTTTAAGGAGCATTTTCTGATTAATAACGGCTGCTGTGGGTGTAACGTGTAAATAAGGTTTTACACACCTGAGCAACAAAACAGCAGCCATTTTGTGGTGAGACTGATCCTGAAAGGAGCCAACCAGGCAATCTTTTCACAAAGATTCACCTTCTATTCATCGTTTTTCATATGGCTTCATTTTATTTCCTTAATTTATGTGCAGTTTATTTTTGTTGGGACAAAGATTTTGGAGAAAGAAAAAGTGAAGCACCTTGCTGCTTTTCATGCAACTCACTTGGTCTACAATTGGTGATGGGGTAGCTCATATTAGTGGTGACTGTCTAGCAGAGGTTGTACATATTAAAACGGTGTTCTATTCTGATTATATTTGTATTTATTGACACGTCTCAGTGATATGGTGTAAATTCTTTCTCAGTGAAAGTGGATTCACGGGGTGCAGCAGTTTCTCCAGTTTGTTTAAAATCTGTAACAAAGTCTGATTTTAAAGCCTTAAACATAAAAAAAAAAAACAAAAAAAAAAACATGGAGCTGGTTTTGAACATTTGCTGGACCTTTGATTTCAAGTAAACAATCTTGTGTGAAATACACTTGAAATTTGTCCATGAATATTGTTGAAAAATAACCAGTTTCCCTGACATATGATCACATTCACAGTATGTATTTCACTTTTTGTATGAAAAATCAGTAAGTACAGTTGCCATGGCATCATCACAAAACCACCCTGATACAAGAGTTTACATACCTGCACGGGTGTTTTGGCCACAGGATATACAATGCTTCACTTGAACATTCAGCTGTTATATGAAAATTGTAATTATGTGAAGACAGAGTCGTCGAAGGTTTTTTAGGGTTTTGGGGAGTCTAATTAAACCACTCGCCTTGTTAAATAGAGGAAACCGCCACCATTGTAAAGCAATCAGACTAAAAAAGCACAATGTAAAAACATAAAATATATATATAAAAAAGTTTATATAGTGACCAACATGAAAGTATTTAGAAATCAATAGCATTGCCATTGGCTTCCACTTCAGTCCTTGTTTGACTCACTTTCACCTGCGCTTCTGCTTCTTATCCAAGTGAGACAGTCGGTAGTAGAAAGTTGGGAATCAATCCTCACTGGCACTTCTGTCAATCCAGCACCAATTCCTTCTTTTAGGGCGCTGGGCTGCACTGAGCAGAGTCAGGACTCTGGGACTTGCAGAATAATAATATCCAGCAGCCAAAATACCTTTACTTTGGATTTCTAATACATGATGCAGAGTGTGTGAATTGTTTTTAGTAACCTCAGAGGTTTAAAGGGACCCTGCGGAGGGTTTGATCACTTGAGCTATAAAATGGTGTTTTTAGAGAAGAACTGGGCCTTTTCAACAGTTAGAGATTATGTGCCATTTATGAAGTCATTAAAGTTTAGAGCAGCCATCTTTAATAGTATTTTTTCTCCCTCGTTAACAGTAGGTATTAACGTTGCTGAAACCACGACACTATAGCACACCCTACTTTCCAATTCACAAAAGTGCATTTCTATTTGAATTCACATCCACGTGAAAGTGTTTTAGATAAAAATTACAGTACTAATAAATACTAACCTTATTCAGTGACAACTTTGCTTAATGTGAACCTTGGCATAAAGCAGACTTAAAGCTAATGACAGAGAGAGCAAAATGTAAAAATCAACAGTGGCTGAGAGCTCAGCGTGCTCCAACAGATTAAAAAAAACTGCAAACAAAATTAACTGTTGAAGCAAATAAACAGGAAAGCAAAATATTTTTTCAGAAACATTTATCTGTGTCCTGTGTGTATTGTCCCATCGATGGGACAACGAATCACATGATTCATGTTTACTTGCATTGCTTAGTTTTAAAGCTGATCCAACATTAAACCTACTTGTGGTTCCTCTGCTACTCTGAGCCCAGCTTTAACATACCAACATTTGACTCCTTATTCTTGACCAATCTATGGCCTTTCATATGGCAATGCATAACAGCCGACTGTACGCCTCAACAACTTAACATTTAAACTCCTCCTCCTCCTCGTTTCTACAAGTTCCTAAAGCAAATCATGATCCACACAGACTCCAGGGAGTTAATCTTTTTGTATCAAAATAAATACTTTTTTCTATCCGTTGAAGACACTGACACTCTGGGTCAATGTTGAAAGCGTCGGTAAAAATATTTGTATCCATCCTGCAAACTACCATCCAACATTGAGGCACAAAGACTGTACACAACTTTGATTAATTGAGCTGCCCAAGCTGCTATGCCTACATTAATGGAAACATGAACAATCTAGCTGGAAAGCAAAAAAAAAAAAGAATCAATTCCAGTCACAATGGAGATTGATTTGTTTTAACTGTTAATCCTTATTTGTTTGAGGAAGTGGAGACTGTAACAAGTCTAAACATGTAATTTTAATTATGCAGTTTTTAAACCCATTCTGCCATTTCATTTTTCATTAGGTTTTCAAACAGTTATTTGGCTACAATGCATTCCTAGTATAAAATAATTCCTTCCCAATTTGCTCAATTTTAGCAGTGTTGTATTTAATCTTTGCTGTGCATTAAAACATTTTAATCCCCCCCCCTGTCCCCCCCCCCCCAAAAAAAAAGTACAAATGGTCGTTTTGATTAAATCTCCACAGGAAACCTTTTAAGTTCTCACAGTTTAAAGTAGAAATGAGTCAAAACATGAATCATGTTTGCTTTCCATAAGAAGCTGAAGTAGTCCAGTAAAAACAAAGCCATATCGCATGAATTGGTGTTTACCTACTGCTTGCTGAAAGCCATAAGCTTTACAGTGTTCAGCGCAGCCCACGCGGTCCAATCGAAGATTCTTTCTTGGGGTTGAAAGTTGATGATGATGATTTAGAGGTTAAAAATAAATAAATATGAGTACTGATTCCTGTTAATACATTCCTGAATGTCCCTCAGACTGTGTTCTTTTTCTACCCTTCACCCGCCTCCTCCTCAGTGCTTTGTCATACAATGAAAGAGTTATGCCGTTGAAATGTTTCACACCAGTATGGTGTGAATATTAGGTGCAGGAAAGAAGAAGAAGAAGAAGAAAAAAAAAGCCGGATCTGATGTTGCTGTTGGCAACGTCAGAGTCTGTCGTCAAGTGATACAAAAAGCCAATCAGGAATTTGCCAAAAATGTCCGACATCAAGGCCATAACTCTTCCTTTCTATGGCGGTGTTCTTTTCTATCCTTCTCTTGAGTGCATGTCAACTGAATGTCCAGTAATGTAGTATTAGGCCATGCTACTCCTTCAATAGGTTTTGTGCATTTCTTACCTTATTTATTTTCTAGTATTCCTATGAAGAAAACAGACTAAAAATGTATTATATAAATACATATATAAGAAAGGTGACATAAAAGAATGAATTATCACTTTTATGGCAATGTTTGATGAAATATTAATTCTTAATGTATGTTTCAGTAAAACTGCTTTCTCTTCAAATGTAGAGACTTATTGCAGGGATGCAAGTATGATCTTTGGTCTTTGAAGAATATCTTGTTGAAATTCTAGATGATGTAGAGTGATATAATTCAATAAAACTATAAAACTGAAAACTGTATTGTTGGGAGTTTGTGAATGAGAAAGGGTGGAGAGTTGGTCACAGCTGGTCATTCAACTTTTTATTGGTTGTAGTAAAATAAATTAACTGTGAACCAAGAATTCACATCAAGGCCACTTAAAAATGCCTAGTAATTCTAAAAAAAGTTCCAGCAAGATCATTTTAAAGATCCTTCTGATTGACATTTTAAACTGCTAACAACCAAGATTGTTCTCTGACTTTTGTGAAAACATCCTGATTATCCCAAAGTCTTTTGGAAAAATATTCTGTGGAAGAACCAGATTGGGAAACTTTAAGGACAATGTCAGGAATCAGACTGTGACCTTAAGCTCAAGGCACTTGGGTTATGCAGCAGGATAATAGTCCAAAGCAAAGCAGCAGGTCCACCTCTGAGCAATAATACACACATAAATAATCACAAGTTTTGGACTCCCTTAGTCAAAGAATAGATGATGCTGTGGTGTGACCTTAAAACGGGCCACTCCTGTCTGCAGAGTTATTTAGCTGCACCGAAAGCCTTTCAAAGATCAGCAGGCTAAAGTTTTTCCCCAGCCAACTAAAGATCTACTGCCAATTCCCACAAACACTGGGTGCTGGTTCCTGGCCAGAAAGAAAATTTCTTTTGAACATGGGGCCGAATTGATTTTAGATACATTTTAGCCCAAAAAAGGTAAAAATTTGAAAATTATTTTTTGTATTTAATCAAGAAGCCCTGGAAATATCCCCACTTATACATTAATTCTTAAATCTGTGCTAATTAAAACCATTCATTTGTGTTTTAATTGTATTTTTTTATTATTATTTGGACTAGAGCAATTATTTGTACCAATCAATGAAAAGGCCAGTTTTGCCTTGGTGATCAAAAGGCAAATACCTAAAATCTATGGATGCCACTCATATCAATAAACCCCCATGTATTTTGTTGCACTTTTTAATTTAATAAATCAGATAAATATAAATTACATGTTTTATTGCACTGATGGGGATGACTGGATTTTTTATTCCCCATTTTCTATGTATTTTGCTCAAGTATTTCTTTCAACAACAAAAACAAACAAACCTACTCCACATTTTCTCTTTTTCCTTTTATGGTCCTGGCAGGACAGAACTCAATCAGAATTTCTTTGCCAATTTAAATAAATTGGCAAAGAAAACTCTGAAGTTTGGACCCCTTCTTGATAAATGAATAAAAACAGGGCCCAACAACAGCATCAACAAATGGCAAGAAAACACTTTAAAGTTTCACTCAGTCATGGACACAGTAGCAGAAAGTTTTTTTTTTGTTTTTTTTGTCACAATGCAGCTACAATCAATACATTCACATTAAACAAAAAAACTTCAACAGCACCGTTTTACTGGCTGTGTCCCAGTGCACTGAAAGTGTTGAGCTGAAAGCTGTAAAAGTGTGTGTGTGTGTGTGTGTGTGTGTGTGTGCGTCCTCAGTATTCAGGTTCAGTTGTCCGTCAATCAAGAGCCATAACTGACCTCAGGAGGAGCAAAACAGTTCAGACTTATTAACAGAAGGTTCCCTGAGAGGTCAGATCTTTCCAAGGAGCTCCATGACAGCGATGGTGGTGCTCTGACCAAAAATAAAGGCTCCACAGATCAGGGTCACTGCTCCCCAAATGGTAAGGGTGATTCTGGAAAGAATTGGGGGGGGGGGAACAACTTCAAAAAACAAAAGGTTTAAATCTCATGACAGAATATCCACAGCTGGGTAGAGAAAACTATTAAACAAGATCAATACAGAAATAGGTTAGTGTTGCAACTACAAACCTTCAATTACATTCAAGATGCTCGCATGTCCTACGTACTGCCAGATTAACTGTTGGAAAAATACTGGCAATCAAATCATGCCTAGTTGTGGTTAATTTTAGACATATTAAGAAGATCTACAATTATCCACAAAATGTTCTAGAAGTTTGTTTTTTTTTGTTTTTTTTTGCCAGCATAATATTTCATTAAATCTTAGTGAAATTAAACATGATTTAATTTAACTAAATATTAAATACAATTAAATTTAATATTTATTAATAAATGAATATAATTAAGTTGTATTTAATTTCACTACAGACCGCTGTAGAAAACATAAATCCAGAGACTCAAACCTCTGGATTTATGTGTCCATCTTCCTGAACATCCTTCATAACCATGAGATTTGGATCACAACTCAAGATGCAATTTCTCCCGATGCATCCCACTGGGAGGAATCCCTGGGGCTGACCCAGAACTCGTTAGAGGGACCATGGTATCCAGTGAGGCCCAGAAACGACTTGGGACGTTTCAAGAATGAGCTAGAAAGTGCGGAGGAGGGTTATCTGGGATGCCCTTCTGGACCTGTTGCTACGGCAACCCAATAGGTATAAAACAACGGATGGTTGTTTAAAAATATTAAGTTTAATATTCATCAATCACCTAAGAATAAATTGTCCGTACTGTAATGCAAGTGTTTTTTTCAAGAATTAAATGCTGTCACCTGAGTTTAACAGTTTAGATTTCAGTCTTGGGGAAACAAGAATTGTAAAAAATGGGACGTTTAAAATATTTAAAAAATACATACACAGACCAAAATACTGCAAATAAAGTATTGTTTTTCCATAGTATTGCCACATTTATTTTCATATATGTAAACTTTTTTTTTTTACCTATAAAGGTGCTTGAGGTAAAAAATGATTTTTTTTCTATTTACTTTAGTTTTTATTTTTATTTTTTTGCAGACAAGCTGAACCAATTCATTGAGGCTTGTAGAAATTAACCAATAAAAGGTATACAAAAAGAACTGAACAAACTGAAACCATAATTTTTCTGGATAGTAAAAAATGATAAATACTGATGTATTAACTGGTTGTCCCTCTACACGAGATATTAGCAGTTTATTTACTGGTTTTAGCTCTGCTTTGGGTTTGCACAGATCTAATCAAATTATGTTGACTCACTACAGGGAATGAAAAAAAAACAGCTGCTTAAACAGATGAGTAATTCAGATTAACTCACAGTTAAATTCATTAACATTTAGATGAAGCTTGTCCTCACCTGGTCTTGCAGGATACTGGCTCAGATTGCATGGCAAACAGCAAACAGAGTCCTGTAGAAACAAACACACACAATCTTTAACAGAACAGCGACAGGTTTTATTGAACGTCCCAACATGACAAGATCTCTACCTGGGAATATAAAGATGAAAAAGGCACTGATTCCTCCAATGACACTGATAACTTTACTGATGTCTGGTACAAACAGAGCAATGAGTAGCGTCGTCATTATCCACAGAACCGTCAGAACCCATCGGCTGCGACATTCTAACTTCACCATCAGCGCCTCGCCCCGTCTCCGCCACCGGCTCAGCAGAGGGTCCTGAATCACCGATCTGATGTGTTCAGAATGTAATGTCGCCAAACACAACATTAAAATACATAATGAGACTTGAAAGACACAATAGAGCAGAGAGAAGTCAGATTGAGTTTGGAGAATCACAGAGAAAAGAAGCCGCTAATCTGCTGAAGGGCCATCTCTCTGGATCAGAGAACGGCCCCAAAATAGAGAAACTATCCAGCAAGTAACAATGATAGCATCATGCTGGTTTTAAAAACAACATGGCTGACCTGCCCAGCAACACGATGATGGGATAGATGGTGATGATGGAGACTCCAAACAGCAGTCTGGCAACGAGCATGAGTTTGTCATGGCTGGAGTACGACATTAAAATATCCGGAGCCACAGTCTTTCCAAATGTCAGGTATCCGTAAACCCCTAAAGCACAAACGATGCCTATGTAAGTTCACTGTTGTGTTATGGAGGGGAAAAATAGTCACAGGTGAAACAGAAGGTGGTCTGACCTGTGAGAGAGTAAATAACGAGGCAGATAATCATGGCGACCACAGAGACGAAGGCCCAGTGAGAAAGCCGCTGGTTCTCCATGCTGCTGTAGATGGCGATGGAAGCCTCATGGCACTGCAAGGAGAGAAACTCCTCTTATGCTATGTTGAACAATCAGCTGAAAAGGTTAC